CTTCTTACTTTCTGCTTCTGCACTTTCTTCTGCACTAACCCCTTCAGTCATTTTACTCTTTGGATTTGTAGTTTGTTCTTGTTCATTTGTTTGTTTTGTTTTACTGTTTTCAATTCGTTCTTCTTCTGTACTTGTCACTCCATCTTTACTTATTTCACTACCTTTTGGTTCTTCTGATACTTTATTCATTTGTGTATTTGTTCAATTACTTTCATTTATTCTTTTAAATATTCATTTCTATCAATATTTTCATACAAGATTATATCATATTTAATGTAAATTATTGATGGTATTATTTTCATTTCATCTTTTTGCATTTTAAACTTAGTTTATCTGTAACTTTCATTTTATCATTAAAAACATTAGATTTTTATTATTTGTTTAATTCATTTTATTTATATAACAAACTGTCAATACACATTAACACAACTATTATTTATTTTGAATATACTCTGATTTTATTTACATTATTGTCTTTATTAAATAAATTAAAGTATTTTAACTCTATCACTTTATTATTATATATCCTTCTTATTATTACTAACTTCATTCAAATCATTTCTTTTATCTCTATTATTTATTCTATCATTGTTCATTTTATTTTGTTTTAATACTTACTTTTAATATGAATGACACATGTTCATTGTCTTTTTTTTATTTTAATTGTTGTTTAACAAATATTATTTCATTATTAAGATAAGTTGAAGTTCAATTGTTTGACTTTAATTAAAACATTGTTTTAGTAATTATAATAAGAAATTGAATAATTGAACAAAATGAAATAAGAGATGAATAATTATAATTGAGTTTATTTCAATATTTATGCCAGTTATTCATTTTAGTGTTATTTTTACTTCTTTTTCTTACAATTTCTTTCTGTTAGTATTTTTATTCCATTATTATCTTGCTTTAGATTTATTCTTATTTTTGAATGATGACTCTTTGTTAGATGTTTATTTAAATTCAGAACAATAAATATCGAATAACATGTTTTAAATTAGTTTAATACAATACTGGATATAGGATATATAATGACAATTTGTTAATTGTGTTAATTAAATGAAAATAAATAGAATAATATTAAATAAATATTGTCTATTTAAAATAATTGATATAACAGTTTTTTGATATAATTATTAATACACAACACAATTTATCAAACAAGAAAATACACCAATTTTAATAGAGAATAAAATTTTAAAATAATAGATAGAAATTCAAAAGATTCAAATTCAATGATATATTCATTACATTCTATTTCATGCCATTCGAATTATTTATATTTTTTTAATAAATAAAATGTATCAAATATAAGATACACCATTCTGTTGAATTAATATTTGTTGAACTAAATAAAAGTATGATTGATTAAACAATTTGTTAGTCAGAGTTAATTGTAAAAATTAGATTATTAAAATTAGTGAAAGTTGTGTGTTTCATTTAAATCAATGTTGTATTAAAACTATAATCATCATTTTAGAAATGTTTGTTATTTTATCAATTTTTAATTTCACTTCTGGTTATTGGGATATCATCATTTAACTTATTCATTTAATGGAAGCTTTATTAATACTTCTTTTTTGAATTTCAATAATTTCCTTATTTTTTCAAATGTATTGATCAAAACAAATGAAAGAGATATGGATTTGAAGAATTTGAAAGAAAGGATTGAAAAATTGTAGATTCTTAAAAGGAAATAATGAATATTCAATGAGTCATAGTTTTTATCAATAAAATAAATATTACTACAATGTTGTATAAAACAAAATTTTCAATGCCTAGTGAGAAAAAGTAAAGAAATTCATTGTTCCAATAACAATAGACATTATTATCAAGACTTAAAATGAGATTATTAAAGAATAAATATTAAATGAAAATTAAAAAAAAAGAACTGAGAAAAATAAGAAAAGTAAGAAATGGGGTATGATATTATTGATATTAAAGGATTAATTGCATCACATCCAACTGGGTTTGAAAAATATGGAGGGTTTTTATTTTATCTTGTAGTTATATTTCAATTAGGATATTGTTTGTTATACTAATTCTTTTGTATAAAAATAAAGCAACAAATCAATGAAATAGTTATATACAAAATTATTGATAAAAAATACTGTATTATTTTTAATAGATTTAGTACTATCACAACATATATCATTAGAACAAAATTTTTTGTTGAATTGATTATGGTTATTGGTCAATGTTCACCAGAGATAATAATGACTATTCTGGGTATTGTATTTAATACATCATATTCAGTTGCTGTGTATTGTGTTATTGGAAGTTCATTTTGTGCAACAATTATTGGAAGTAGTTTAGCATCACTCAACTCATATAATCCAATTCAAATTACACCATTTTCATATCAAAGAACTTCAATCATCCTATTATTCAATGTATTGATTTATGAATTATTTACTGAATCAATCAACAAAAATGGAAATTCAAGAATTGGAACATTATTATTAGTTGTTTCATTAGGTATTTTCATTATTTATTATCTTTTGAATCAAATCATTTCAAGAGTAACCAATAAAAATGTTCAAAACATTAAAGAATTTGAATACAAAGAAGAAAATGATACAATGGATATAATAAATGATGAAGAAATGATTAAATGTGGATTAGTTCTTGTTAAGAATATAAATTATAGTGAAACATATTATACAACATCACAATGGAAAGAGTTATGGGTTGATTTATATTATGATGAAATTGTTATTAGAAGTGATAAAACAGCAGGATCAAAAGAAATTATTAAAATTCCTATAACAACTATTGAAGAATGTGACATTAATTTATTAGATAAAACGATATTTGTAATTAAAACGTTTAATAAAAAAGAAATTGGGATGAGAAGTTTACAAAGATATGAATGGGTCAAAAATATCCAAAAATTAATTAATAGAAATGAAAACAAACAAATTGATAAAGACAAACAAAAAATACAATTGGAAGAAATATTAAAATATGATAAATTTGAAAAGAATGAAGAAAGAACAATATTTAAAAATATTATTTTCTTTCTTCCTAATTTAATTGTTGATTGGACAATTCCAATATTTCAATTTCCATTAAGTGGAATTATTACATTTGTTATTGGAGGAATTTATATTAGTATTAGTGAATTTATTATACTTATATTAATTATTAGAATTAGTGCTGTTACTGGAATATCAGAAGATTCAATTGGAATAGGAATTAATGGAATAATTGGAATGGGAATGAGATTTATTATTAATTCTTGGAATGGTGGATTTAAAGGAATGGGAAGTGTGGTTATTGAAAATGGATATTCACAAGCAATATTTATGATGAGTTGTATTGTTACAATTCCATGGATTATCTTTTACTTTATCATTGAAAAACAATATGAATATACTATTAGTTTTAATCAAACATCAATTGATATTATTCTTTTTGGAATGATCATCTTAATTTCCTTATATTTACTTATTTCAATTTTAAGTTCAAAAGTAATTATCAAAAGAACTTATAGCTTTATTGTTATTTTTGTTTATTTTGCATTGGTTATATCATCAATAATAATCTCTTCTTATTATCATTCTTAATTTATTCATTCTTTTTATTATTGTAGTTTATATCTTTTGTTTTAATGAAGTAATTTTATTGTTTTTTTTTTATATTTCTTATTATTTATTTTCTAAATCAACTTATAGAAAGAACTATAAAAATTATTAAAGTAAATTTCATTATGATACTCTTCTTTATGATATTGATCTTCACTGCTTTTGGATATGAACCATTTTTTGAAGAAATTAATTGCCAAGAATTTAATAAAAATTGTAGAGAATGTGTACGATATGTTCAAAATTTTAAAGACAATATTCGAGGATGTCAATGGTGTGATATGCCAAATTACTTTGACTCATATTGTTTTAATCCAAACACTACTATTTGTAAAGGTAAAATACAAGAAATATGTCAATTAGATCCATTAATAATGTCAGTTGTTAGTGTATTATGTTTACTTCCATTATTAATAGTTATATTACTAATAGTCTTACCATCCCTTATTTCTTGTATTAAAAAGCGTCAAACAAAACAAGATTAACTTGTCTTTTTATATATTTTCTTCTAAAAGAAAAAACCTTTCTTATTTACTTTCTTTTAAAGTGTTATTCAATTATTACTTAAATGACTAATTTGGATGATTTGTTCTTTATACTTCATAATAACAAATGGATAAAAATATGTTATACAGATTTTCCTAAAATTTAATGGGTTGATATTTAATTATTTATAATTCTACAAAGAAACAATTAGAGTTTCATCCTCTTCTTGTTGGCGAATAAGAGAGTCTTCAACAGATGTATTATCATTAATATTAATAACTGAGGAGATATGAGGTCTAACCATTGAACTAACCTCTTTTTGGTCATTAAAAAAGGTGTTATTATCTATGGAACAATTGAATTCAATAAATGAGGCATGTCCATAAACATTTGGTAATAGATGGGTTTTGTTTGGGGATAACAAAGAACTACTCTTTTGTTTTGGAAGAACAGTAAGGTGAATGTATATGAGTTGATGGTCTAAATTCTTATAATGTTTAAAGTCATTTTTAAAATCAATGATGGCATCAATTTTATGTAACAGTAACAAATCTATTTCAGTTACTTTGATAACATTATAACCAAATGATTGATATTTGGAATACAATGTATCTTCAATTGCAAGACAGTAATGAATCTTTTTCTTTTGAAGTAAGTCAGATAATTTCATTGCAATAACACCACTACCAATGATTAGAATATTACTTAAATGATGAGGAATTATTATATTCTTAATAAGTTCAAAAGGAAGGACAGCACTAGACATATTTCCAAGATAATTAATAAAATTCGATTCACTTTTATCATTTAACTTCATTAAATTTGTTTGGTTAGTCACAATAATATCTTTGAAACAGTTTTGAGAAAAATCTCTCCCCAATACAAAATCACCAACTTGGAGTGAATAAACTTCTTTTCCAGTTTTAAGAATTTTTCCAACAAATTCTTGAACAATAAACCCTTGTTGAGTTAAGCAATACTGATTAATTGAAAGATATAAAATTTGAATTTGACACTCAGAAAGTTTTATTTCAGGTATAACTAAAGTTTTTTTTGATAATTTTTTGCCATCGAATTGATATTCATGTCCGTCAAACTTTCCTCTGAGAACAGTGAACTTTTCGTTAAACCCATTTTTTTCAATTTCTTTTTTCATCTCATCATTCATCGCTTTATACATCTCTTTCCTTTTCTTTCTTCCTTCAAAGTATTGGAATTGACTTTGTTTCATTATTATTAATCTCACTTTCTTTCATTCATTTTATTGTTTTAAATATGATTGTCTTTTCGGTTTTAGTCTCAAAGACAACTTTCTTTTCGTTTCTTAACAAGATGAATATTGAACTACAAAAGAAGTGTTAAAATAAGAGAATTATTTAAAACTATATTATAACCATACTTCAAAAAAGAGAAGTTAAGAACAATATCTTAAAAAAAAATAGAATATGAGTTCACGAGATCCTACTCGCGGTGAAGAGAATTGTGTTCAATGGAATGAGGAAGAGATAAATACATTAAAAAATAACATGGAAGTATATCCTGAAGATAAATATTCTGAATTAAAAAGATATACTTTATTACTAACAAACCTTCCACATAAACGACTTAGAGATGTAGCTGCACGTGTGAAATATCTTAAATATATTGAAACACATCCAACAATGACGTGGTCTGATTTTTGTAAAGACAAAACACTTATTCGTCCACAAAGAATTGTCACGATCACTAAATGTCCTAGTCATTCTTCAAGTCAAGACAGTGATGTTGAAGGGTCATCTGTTCGTGTTGTAAGAAAGAGAAGTCCTTCTGGAACAACACCTATGCCAATAGAAAAGCCATTAGGACAAGACTCAGTTGATGGAAATGTTTCTGATTCAATGCAAATAGAAGAGAATTCATTGAAATCTCCAGTTGTAGATATTTCAGAATTACCGAGTATACCAATAGTTAATGCACAACAATTAAATAAACAAACACCATCTGTTAGTAAAAGTAAACGTATTAATAAAATAGTTAGAAAGAATAAAATAAATAAACTACCTCAAACTACATTAATTACATCTCCTGCACCTAATACAACGATAAAAGTTGAGCAACAACCTACTATAATTATTACAAATGAAGAGCAAAATTCACAATTACCACCAGCTACAACTCAAAATGATATTAGTCAAGTAGAACAAATGTTGTTTCAAGGAGAAACTATTTTAACAGAATTAATGCAAAGTTCGACAACAGAATTATCGATTAGTCAAATATTAAATTTCCAATATTATGTTGCTCAAGTTATGGATTTTAGTTCACAACTAGCAAAACCATTGGAATTACCTCAAATGTTTTCTATGCCATTTACTATTGAAGATATTCAACAATTAATTCAACAACCTCAATTAATTAAAATGTATGAAGAACAATTAACTAGTACAGACCATCCTATGAATAATTCACAGCATTAGAATTAGTGTTGATTTAATCAATCAACTTTGTTATCTTTAAATAAAATGGTAAATTAGAATAAATTTGAATAGTTTTGTTGACAATAAAAATATTTGTATTTTCATTTTTATAAGTGAAGTATTCTTTTGAGAAAAATCATTTGTTCTGATGTTAATGTTTGAAGTATTGGAGCATCGTTAGAGAGCAATTTCTGTATTAGTTGTGATAATATAACATTGTCATTCAAATCAATTAACATTGGTAATGGTTCTTCTTCACATTGAGGTGATTCATTATCATCATCTTCTTCAGAAATTGAAATAACAGCTTGAGAATAAGTATTACGATAGAAATATAATGATTGAAGGAAAGGAATTAATAATTGAAGTAATGAAGCTTGGTCTAATGGAGAAGGAGTATCTATTAATGTAATTAAAGTTAAAACAAGAATTTTCGTTGTATAAAAGTCATTTTTAAGAGTAGAATAATGTTTTAACATATTAATAAGTACTTGAAATGAATTTAAAGAATCGAATAAATCTAAAGTGTTTTGAGGTTGAAAAATAATTGATACAAATATTGTTGTTTTTAAACAATGAGCTAAATAATCATCACATTGAGGAATTAATGCTAATATTGTTGGTAAAATTTGAGAAGAATGAATTACAGAAGATATGAATAATTGTTTTAAAGTAAATGTAATTGATGTAAGTAAAAAGTCATCATTATAATATCCTTGAAGTGAGTTTTGTATATAACGAAGTAATAAATGAGAATCTAAATTTGTAGTTGAATATTGACAAATAAAACCAATTGATGGGAGTAATAATATTGATAAATCCAATGGATTTTCAAATAAGAATTTTTGAATTATAAGGGAGAGATGATGAGATTGATTTGTAAGTTTTAATGTTAATTTTATTAAAGATAATATTTGTTCTGAAATATCTGAAAGTAATGACATATATTTAGTAAGAATTGATTCTATTAATGATAATACAGATGATAAATCAGTACAATAAATTAAGAATTTTTCAAGTGCTTCAAGGGTTGAATATAATAATGTAAGAATATCTGAAATTAAATCTAAATTAGGATTTGGTTCCATTAAAAATCCTTGATGAAGTGAACATAATTCTAATGAAAATAAAGATAATTTATTAACTACTATTGATGAAGAAGATTTAAATTGAGGATAATGAAGATATATTGATAATAAAGAATTAATTACTTGATATGATGGGTATTGAAGTAATTGAATAATTCTATTATACAATATTTCAATATCATTTAAAGGTAATATTTTAATTATAAATTGTAATGCTGAAATAATATGTTGTGAAATAATTAATGAAGGAAAATGAATTAATTCAAATAATCGAGTAAGAAATAATTTACATTCATTATTTTTGAATAATTCTTCTTTGTTTGAATATCTTATTAATTGTTTAGAATAATAGTCTTCAAATAATAATACACCATAATATAATTGTATTGGATTATTACTAAATAATAATGGTTTAATAACATTATTACTAATTATTTCTAATGATTCTTTATATTTATTTTGAATGGATCCATTAATGAAATGAAATACAACACAACATCCTTCTTTTCCTTTAAAAGATTTATCATTAATGAATTTTAATAATTCAGATACTACTATTTGAACTGATTTGTTATATGAACAAAATTGAGTAAAAAATTTATTTGATGAAGAATATGCATCAACAGCACCATATTTTCTATCATCTTCTCTTTGAAGAAATAATATTTCATCACTTTTAAAAATTGTCAAATCTTCATCATTAAAACAAAGTAAAGGAAGAATAGAAGAAAGTAAAAATGAACAATTGTTTAACATGAAATTATATGAACAATCTATTTTAACAGCTTTAGTAAAGAAATAAAGTATTTCAAAACAAATACGATTTGATGAATTTTTTTGTAGAATAGAACAACCAAATTGAATTAAACTATTCATTTGGTTTATTATAAAATCAGGAAATTCTTTTTGGAATTGATAATATTCATAACCACCCATTATATGATTAATAAAACGGAAACAATAATACAATGTTTTAATAGTAATAATTGGAGAATTGAGAATATTTAAAATATTCATTAACCATTGTTTTAATAATGGTTCAATTGAAGTATTAATTTGTAAATAAGTTACAGAACATAAAATTGATAAAATATATTGTTGGGTCATTGAATTTACATAAAGAGAATTAATGAAATCATTATTAAATTCAATAAATAAATTAAATAATGAATAAGTATTAGTTTGAGGAGTAAATTGATATAATTTAAATAATGATTTTAATATAAAAAGAATAGATACTTCATATTTATTTTTATTTTGAAACAACCAATTGATTTGATGTTGATAATATTGTTTAGAATATAATAATTTAACTACTTCAATTAATTGGTTTTTTACAATTAAATTATCTTTAATACAAATTAATGGAAATATTGTTTCAATGATAAACATTTGTTGTTCTTCATTAAAACAATTCCATTCTTTACTAATTTTTCTTCTTAAAATAATAGATAA